GGATGGTGTGTTTTCTATTGTGTTAGTGAGGTGGGTATGCGCGGTGTTGGAGGTATGCACTGGAACGCGAATCCCACGTTGTGGCAATAGCGGTGGTGTTTCGGGGTGGCCTGTAGCTGTGGTTCTTCCATCCAAATTTGAGCGTAGAGACCTGGGTAGTGTAAGAGGGAGTATCGAGGCGTCGGGGGCTCAATGTTAGTCTCGCCACCCCTAATTCATGGAGGGGGTGCCTCAGTCTGGCGACGGCGGGGTGAGAGTTGACACCCCCGGTACGTCGGTGGGGTGATGGAGCGAGTTCTGGCATGGCTCGTTGGGATACGCTCTCGTGATGTGCTTCCTGACGTGACGGTTTGAGGCGCAGTGACGACCTCGGTTTTGGCGCCTTTGCATTTGGTTAGGGAGTTTTTTCCCTGCTTTTGGCAAGTCATAATTTTTCTGCTAGGTTTTGCGTAAGTTCCTGCCAGAACGACTAAGCCAGGTGTGAATAGCACCCAATGATCGATGCCTGGCACCAATTCACGTCTCGTTCAGCGAAGCTCGATTTGGAGTTGTCGAATAGAACTCAATCTCCTTTCTCATTATTGGGGTACTTAAATTTACAGACTCTCGGAATCCATTAATTGAAGCTCACCGTAATTTGCACTCGTGTTTGCGCCAATTGCAATTTTACCTGTCTACACAAGGCTGCGCAATTAATCAGCCGCATATCTCATGCGTCAACCAATCACAATTGATATAAGCCTGTGGCACAGGTACAACGGACCAGACATAATTGACCAATCACAAGCCAGAGCAATCCATCACGCATTGTTCACCCTAGTCATCCGTATTGATTGTGCGGTGCATTACATAGTGTGTTCCTTATCTATCCTCATCGCTGGTTGGCCGCTAATATTCCTCGTAGATAATACAAAAGCATAGAAACCGAGGAGTATTTGACGTCAGCTTGATCGAATACGTCTTAACCCTAGTACGACAATGCAAGTCTCCCTATTAGATCCACATCATTACTATTTGATTGGGT